TGGGGCTTTTCAGGCAGCTGGGGATGTGACTGCAGGGTCAGTACAGGTGATGCAATCCTCAGCATCTCCTTTTACCTCCTTTTTTGATTGTTCTTTCTTCTGCAGCATACCCCCCACCCCACCCCTGCTGTGCTGTGTAACACCATTACAATGATTGTACTTGGGCAGAAATCATGTGTAATACTCTTCTTGCTCTTAAGCAAATCTGTTGAGCAAGTTTGCACTCTTCTACACCCCCCCACCACTTCAGCAGCCAGGCATGCTCTGCAGCCTGGGTGGAAGTGAGCCAGTGTGGGAGTCTGAGTGCATCCTTGTTGCAGCAGAATTTGGCAGCTGCTGCCTGTGTCTCATCTGCTGCCAGGAACATGTCTGCGGCGGCACTGCGAAGCCTTGTCGTCCCGGCCGCGGCGCTTGTAGCTGCCTGCGGCATCCCAGCTGTCGCAGGTGGGGACCTGCCATGGTACTGTCTTGCTGCTGGAGTTGCCTGCTTGTGATGAGATGTCTTTGCCCATTGGCGTGGGAGCTCTTCTGTCCATAATGCCTACACATCGCCAGGGCTTGGCTTGGCTTGCGGCCCAGGGAGCTTTGAGCCTGAAGGAAGCCGATCTCCGGTGTCACGGCAGGACAGCGGGTGATGGCAGAGCTGGCAAAGCACCAGAGTGCTGCGTGCTCTTGCTGTGCCATTCCTGGAGTACAGGATGGGACAGCTTCCTGGGATACATTTAGGGGCCAAACTTGCCTTAGAGTCCTCCTCCAGGTCTGCCTGCGCTGCCTGTTTGGGCTGACCCGTGTCCATCACTGGGACAGGGCTGCTGTACAGGCGGTCTTGCTGCTGGAGTTGCCTGCCTGCTACGAGGTGTTTTTGCACGGCATGAGTGGTACCACAGGCTGGCAGGAGCCCTGGGCCCTGGAAGGGAGCTCCCAAAAGCAGATAGTGGGGCTCTGGAAGCCTCTAAAAGGCAGACAGTGGGGTTTTTAGTAGGGCTGAGGTGTGCCAGGAGCATCGGCTGACCAACAAGGTGCAGGTCCTGTAACCCGTAGGGCTGAATGCATGTGCCTGCGGGGGGGCGGTGGGGAATGAATTGCGCTGTCTCTCATGCCCTATAAATACGCTTCTCCCTAAATAGTCTGGCTGTGCGGCTCTGTGGCAGCCGAGTGGATGTACCCAAGTCCTAAAATACTTGGGCTGTTTTAGGAGGTGAGGGGGATGGGGAAGGAATGCAGCAGTTTGCAGGGTGCTGCCTTTGCTCGGCAGGGCTGGTGCTGAATTGGGGGGGGAGAGTTTTGGCGTCCCTCTGTCTGGCTGTCCCTGACTGAAAGGGACTGGTAACCTGATTTCAGGGTGCATCTTGGGCCAGCTGTACCCTGGCCCAGCATGCTCAACACCCATTGTGTGACTGGTACAGTGTGCTGCTCTGCTGCCCTTGGCAATAAGACCCTGTCTCACAATCCTGGCTTTGTGTTGCCTCTCTGCAATGATGACAAGCCCTGAAGCTGTGACCCACGCTTAACCCTTTTGCTTTCCTGGCAATGCTAACCTGGCAGTGCATTTGCCCCCAGGCTTAGTGCTGGGGTAGGGAACAAGACACCGTGTTTACCTACAGGTAGCATCTGAAGCAGAAGAGTGAGATGAGCAGGGCAGGCACAGCCTGGGCATGTTGCCCTCTTTCTGCCTTCATCTGCATTACCCAGTGCCTCCAAGAGGGACCGGGCAGTGTCCTGACCCTGGATGGACGACCCTTGGTAGAGGCCTCAAGTGTAGTCCTGCTTCTGCACCCAGCCAAAGGGCAGTGTGAGTTTGCTGAGGTCTAAAAAAAATAAAAAGCCACCAAAACCGAAGTGCCTCCCTGCCATGATATGCTTTGCTGCTTTATCTAGTCAAAGGCTTGCCCATCCAACCACCTTACTCTGGAGGAGCAGCTCCACACCCTTTCTCCCAAACTCAAAGGAAAAGCAAATTGACTATTAAATATATTGACTATTAACTATTGCACTTATTACGCTTCTGTGAGGTTTTGCAAGTATGTCCTGGAGCAGGGCTTGGTAATGCTGTAAACGTGTGCCTTAATTAACTGACGCCTTCTTTGCTGTGATGAACCTGCTGCCGTTCTTCCTCATGACGTCCCCTGTCTGTGACCTGGTTTTTGCTCCGACTGAGGCTTCTTTCCTTGTTTTCCAGAAAGCTGTCTGGCCTGGTGGGCTCGTGGGTTTGGGTGCTGAGCATACAGGCAGATTGGTAGTAAGGGCTGCGTGCCAGCGCGGTGGTGATGTCTCTGTCATTTGGGGTCTTTTGGAACTGGGGCCCTTGGAAACAAAGATGGTTTTGAAGGTGGTGGGAGGCCACTCCAGTTGAGGGGAAAAGCACGCCATGCTGGTGCAGGCAGGGACAGAGCTCTTGGCTGCAGCCCTGCCTCATGCTGCCCACGCCTGCAAGCAGCTCCGGGCCAGCAGCTTTGTTCGTGCCTTCCTCTACCACAGCTTCCTGTGCGGCTGTGAGGTTTCTCAGCTGGGAAGGGCTTTCTTCCAGGGAAACCACAACTGTGCAGGTCTCTGTCTGGGAAGGCTACAGCCCTCATTTTTTTGCAAGACAGCTAAACATCAATGAAAGATGATGGGTGGGAGGATTTGACTGGCTCAATGGGAAAGCTTCAGCGCCATGCCTAGGGTTTCCTTTCTGAACGGTTTCAAGGATTTAACTATGGGGTTGAGATGGTGGCAAGGGGCAGTGGCAGATGCTGCACAAGGGCTGAGCCCAGCCTGGCAGATCCTGCCCCAGCCCTGTGCTGGACACTGATGGCAGGACCAGTATGAGGGAGGGCTGTTGATGGGCTGACTGATAGCAGAGCACCCATCCTTCCAGCCTTTGGACTTAGAAATTCAGTGATGGCCCTGGTAGGTGCGAAGCACTGGTTGCTGGGTGGGCCGGATGTCTTATTCACACCCACAGCAGATGTCGGGAGGAATTGATGCAGGGTTCCAGGCTGAGCATTGTTAAAAAGATTGATAGCTGCTTTCTGCTGGGAGGATCTAGTTGGTCTCTGCTCCCTGTTTCTTCTCTAAATAAGCAGGAGACCTGGCATCAGCTGGCCTTGGTGTGTCTTTGTCTCACTGTGCTGGTGCACGGTGTAAGCTGTGTGTAAGTAACCTCTGTGCTGGACATGCATGTGGGTGAGATGGAAATCCCACTGAGATAAGCTGAGTTCCTCCATGCTCCTGTGTGGGTGGTTTGGTCTGAGCTCCCTGAGCACTTCTCTTTGAGACAGCTCTGTGAGCTGCCTGCTACTTCCCTGAGCTTAATATATCTTAGCACTGTCTGCATTGTGCAGCTTCCCCTCTCCCCTGAGCTTTGAACCACCCTGTGACTTTATCTACTTTTGTGGTTCCTTTTCTGGGAAGATGGATATGGGGGATGATGAGGGCTGACCCTCTCCCCTTTGCACCCCACAGGTATGACTCTGGACGGGATGGGTACATTGACCTGATGGAGCTGAAGCTGATGATGGAAAAGCTGGGAGCCCCACAGACCCACCTGGGGCTGAAGAACATGATCAAGGAGGTGGATGAAGACTTTGATGGGAAGCTCAGCTTCCGTGAGGTGAGGGTGGTTGCGGGAGCAGACAGGGATGTGGCTGCAGGGTAGAAGGAGGAGACAGACAGCTGTAGGTAGCACTGTACCCTCTGTGTTTCTCCAGCTGTGGGGTGCAGTGGAGAAGCGGGTGAGCTTCCCCACACCATGGGGAGCTCAAGGTGTGGACCACTGTCAGCATCCATCTCCATGTGGCAGTAATAGTACATGATGTCAAAGCTCTCCAACCTCAGTCTACTTTGGGAGCATATTTGAGCCTTCCTGCAGCTGCTTGGGAGTGTTGACAGAGCTCGCTGCTGTAGTTAGAAGTTGCATGTTCCTTCAGTCCCAGGGTCTTGTTGCTGGGCTTCTGCAGTACAGCAGCTCGGAACTCATTTTGGCTGCAGGGGAAAGGCTCTGCTCAGAGCAGCTGGTCTCATGGGGTGCAGAAGGCTTCCTCTTCGAGTTTATATTGGGTCACTCTCTGCATCACACAGTGACCAGACACACCAAGCTTCCTGAGGGGTGGTCATGTCCCTGCAGTGAGCAATAAATGTGGTGATGCAGCAGTACAGTACTGCACGCTGGCTCAGCAGACACACAGAACATATGTCACAGCTGTGGTGAGACCCTTGGGAGCAGTGTGGGCTGGCCAGGAATTGCTGCCAGGTGGAGGAAGAGAAGGGATTTGACCAGTGATCTGCATGCGTTCAGGGGTACCCAACTCATCTCAGTAGGAAGGGTGAGCTCAGATACCAAAACCTCCTGTTGCATCATCTCTGCCAAGACCTTCGGCAGTGCCTAGGAGGGAGGATGAGCAGTCAGGGCCCATGACACACTGGTCTGGTCAGGGTATGACTGGCAGCTGATACAGCTGCTGTACTATCTCTCTGTGCTGGCCTGTCACACCTTCCCCTGCTGTTGTCCCCCAAGGGTTTTCTTTCTTGTTCTGCAAGAGGACCACAGTACAAGACAGGTCAAAGACTGTTGGGTTATAGGGCCCAGCCCTTAAAGAGAGGGGGTAAGCCAGGGAAATCTGGGAAGTGAGAGCCTGTCAGTTGACACCAGCAAAGCCCTAAGCTGGCAGCTTCTCTGGACAGGGAAGGAGAAGTGCCCTGTCAGAGATGAATTGGGGGTAGCAAAGAATCCAGCAGAGCAGGAAGAACACTCTGCTCTTGGCCCCAGGTCAGACTGTGAACACAAAATTGCTGCTGGAGGAGCCCTCTGTATCTCTGTGAGCCTCCTGGGCCACCTTTCACCCTGGCTGATGACCTGAGGACAACCTCTGAGCTTGCTGCTGGGGCGCTCTCCTGTGAAAAAGAAGTGCCTTTATCTCCAAGGCTCTGGAAGATGCTGTGGTGTGCTGGCATCAGTGGTGCGGCACTAGTGGCAGAGCAGTTCCTCTTCTGCTGCCACCTGTTTGGAGCACAGCCCCCTGCATAGTCGTCCATCAGCCGGCATGTGCTGTCTGTGCTGCCAACCCTTGGCAGGCAGCGGGTGGCAGCTGGTGCTGTTGTAGCTTCTTGCCAGATGCAAAACGATGGTCAAGAAAATGCAGGCTTGAGTGGCACATGGGTTGGAACAAAGGAGTGTCACTGGCAGAGCTCTGGGGACAAATTACACAGCAGCTTTGGCCTGTACCCAAAGCTTTCCATGAGAGAGGAGTAGGATGCTTCCTGCCTTGTTGCAGATGCACAGTGTCCCGCTGCTGTGTCCGGGCAGAGGATTGGCAGGGAGACAGGTTTCCTGGTGGGTGAGGAGGCCCAAACCAGCCTGTAGCCTTGCCCTGCTCTGCTTCCCATTGGTGATGATGAGCATTCACATGGTGGGTGACCAAGCTGACTTTGGGCACTCTGACAACACGAAGAGAAACCATGGTTTAAATGAGTGTCCAAATTCAGCAGAGACTCCTGTCTGCCTCTTCAGAGAATACTGAGTCCTGACGTATCTGCCTGAAGGCATGCCTGTCATGGCCTGGTCGAAAAATTGTTAAGGACCTCTTTCACTTGCAACAGGTCACTTTATGTTGTTGCTTAAAGTAGTGTCATGTCCTCCTTTCCCATGTAAGCTGTTGCCTGGAAAGCAGGCCTGTACGGCTCTGACTTGCTGCTGCTAAAAAACACTGGCGCTGTTCGGAAAGCTGTGTTCTACCATTGACCTTTGAGCATTCAATACATCAACAATTAACTGCACAAGACTCCCTTTGTGCCTAAAGCAAAGAAATTTAGGCTTAAAGATTAGGTACAGTGAGGGGAAAAACCTACTTCTGACCATCTAGTTCGTCATTACCACAGGAAACCAGACTTAATTGCTATAATAGGAATGTCTAATTGTAGCTGCTAGTGTTCTACCATTGACCTTTGAGCATTCAATACATCAACAATTAACTGCACAAGACTCCCTTTGTGCCTAAAGCAAAGAAATTTAGGCTTAAAGATTAGGTACAGTGAGGGGAAAAACCTACTTCTGACCATCTAGTTCGTCATTACCACAGGAAACCAGACTTAATTGCTATAATAGGAATGTCTAATTGTAGCTGCTATCTAGAACCCACAAAAATCCACCCAGTGTCCCCTGTACCAGCTTAAATGCTGACCTATGTCATGTGTGTGCTAGCAGGGTTGGTGCAAACCACAGCCTCGTGTGTCACTGCTTTTCTGACAAGCTGCTGCTAGGCTGCTGTTGCTAGTCAGTCCCCTACCTTCCTTTGCATCCCTGAGGCCAGCACGGTGCCTGGTGCGGCTGTGTAACAGCAGCATTGCTCTGAGACCTGGCACTGTGAGGTAGGCCTTTGCTCATGAAGGATGAGAGAGCGGATACATCTCTTATCTTATGATGTTAGTTGGGTGGAAAGTGTTTGTTGTATTCCTTGAGAGCAGGGTTTTTAAAAAAAAAAAAAACACAAACAAAAAACCACCAAACCGTAGTCACTTTTGTTTCTCTGTTGGCATTTCCCTGAGGCTTAGCTGCATGCTAAGCATGTGTGTCCTAGGCCTGGCAAGGGTGTGAGATGGGCTGGGAATGGGAATTGATCTGGAAACTGACTGCAGGCTCCTGGTGTTCTCTGGTTACTGAGGACTGGTGCCTCAAAGGCAAATGACTGGTGAGGTGTGCTGCAGGCTGTGTGTTTACCTGAGGAAGGATTGCTCCTGTGAAAGCCAGCATGATGCCCCATGCCTTGCTGCGTCCCTGGGGCTGACATTACACTGTGTCTGCCGCAACGCGTGGCTCAGTCCCTGGTTTCTTGAGCTCAGCTTCCTGGCTGTGGCTCCTGTATTCCACAGGAGGATTGCTGCCCCATCCCCTAGTTTCAGGATGATTCATACACACTTGTACTCATGACTGGGTGTTTCCAGCCCCTCCCTGGGCAACAGCTGTATCAGACCTCAGGATTTTGTTGCCTCTGCTACCCTTTTCCAATGCCAGGAAGTGGGACTCAGGGTGGAGCAGAAACTGCAAGGAGGAACCATGACTAACACCAGCCTGGCTGCCAGCCCTCTGTGTCCCTGTGCCTGATGGTGGAGGAGGAGGGGAACTAGCCCAAGCCTAGTGGATTTGAGCAGAGGGAGAGGATATCTTGGAGGATTTGGTGTTGTTTTTTTTTCGAGCAGGATGTTGTACCCATTCTGCAGACCATCATTAAATTTCTTACATGTTTTTGGAGGGGGGGAAAGTCCCCTCCCCACGCAGAGCCCGCTGTCTGGCTGCTCTGTTCGGAGTGCACATGGGTTACGAGGCCGTTGCAGCAAGCAATGCCTGGTGACACTGCGAGAGGGCAGCCAGTGCTGCCGTCATCTCCACACCCTTCCCCATGGGAGGCCTTCCCAAACTCTTGCTTTTCCACCAGCTTCTGAAGCAGGCGAGCAGGTTTGGGGCTGGTCAGAGCGGATGCTGGGACTCTGCTGCCCTCCTCTGGGAACAGCTCCGGCTCACAATAGGAAGAAGTGAAGTCCCAAGCCTGGCAGTCTGAGGAGCACAGCACTAGAGATACTTGATGTTCCTGTGCAAATGGGTTTCAGGGCAACCCTTCGTGGTTTTTGCAGCTTTCTGCCTTGGACTGAAGTGGTGCAGTGGCACAGCTTTCATGATTGTGCTCCGTTTGTATCCGGGTGGCTTGTCCCTCAGTTCTTTATGAACTGTGCCAAGCATTGAGACATCTTCTGGAGTGGCCAAGAACTGCAGGGAGTTACAGGACCTCTCGAATTGCACGCAGAGCATCCACATCTTAACCTGGAGTTAGGTTAGCACGTGGAAGGTGGTGCAGAGATCTTTATTTTTAAGCAGGCAGGTTTTGTCCCTTCTGTTAAAGTGTGCTTTCCTGGAATGTTATACAGCTTTTCTATTTGTTTCCCTTTGCTATTCACTTGCCAATATGCCCTCTGCTGTAATGACTCTGGATTTGTTAATCATCTGTGGCCCAGTGCAGGACGGAGTGTTTAAAACAAGTTGCTCTGTGGCTGCTTGTTCAAGCCACTCTGTTGCAAGGGCATGCACACACTTGGGCTGCTGTTCTCTCTAACAGGAATGCACTGGCATTGGTTCAGAGAGCCTGGAGTTCAGGTGTGAGCCAGGGCTGTCTTTGCCCTGCTTTTGTTGTCATGGGACATGTGAGCCCCCAGAACGCTAGGGAAGCTGGAGGGGTACTTTTGACTCCACCATTAGGCTGTGGACACAGAGGTGTATCTGAGCCCACCATATGATTGTTCTAGGCAGGTGAAGAGATGGCCTCCTTCCTCAGGCAGTGTAGCAGCATAGGCTGAGTAGGGGCTGTGCTTCACCACGGCTCTGGTCCTTAGAAAACCCTCTTCCTATGAGATTTCTGTCTCTTAGCCCAACAGGGCTATGTACCAGAGCACTGAAGCACAAGTTGCACGGTGCCACTTCATTTATGCAGACCTACCTTCCGTTGCTCAGAAATGTAAATTCCAGCCCCCTCCACCTAAAAGTCTGCACTGTTTGTGTTTTAAGGTGTTTGAGTCTCAGTGTAGAACTTGGATGTTTTCTCTCTATCTTGCTAGTTCCTGC